TTATCTTTATAAAAAATTATATTATTAAACCAAATATAAATTACTTCGTTATTGTACATAAATTAATTATAAAAAAATTGGATTAAAAAATTACACAAAAAAATGAGGAATTTCAAATAGTTAATTTGATTTTTATGATATCGTCAAACATATATTTTATTCAAAAATAAAAATATCATTGCTTTTTCAAAATCACATAAAGCCACATTATAACATCGACTGAGATAAAGAATAAAATGAAATATTAAAAATACGATGTATCTCGCTGCATTGCGCGAGTACGCTTCTAGTATCAAATCAACTATTTAGAAGTTCTCATTTTTTTATGTAATTTTTTTAATTTATTTTTTTTATTATAATTTAATTTAAGTTTAATAGTGAAATGACTTTTTTAGGTTTAATATTATAAATTTTATAAAGATAATATTTAAGTATTCTGTTAGGATTTAATGATTATCCTAATTATATTTTAGATTTTTTATTTTTAAAATGAGATGTTTATCTTGTATTTGATTATGTTTATCTGCAGTTAGTTACACGAATTCATATATGAAGCTTTAATAAGTTGTACTTATGCACAATCTACTTGCAATCTTGAGTTTTAAGTAATATTCATTAATAAACAGTACTTTACGCATAAAAAGTGTTTTTAAAAGTTTTTGTCAAATGCTTTATAATATAATATAGATTTATAATCTAACCATTTTTAAACTAATAATACTTGTATTTTAAAATGAACAGTTAAGACTTATTTGTAAGAATTACATGATTTGTGTAACATCCTAAAGCCCAAAGCAAGAGTCTGCTTCAATAATTTCGAAGTCAACTTAAAAACCATAATGAGAATTATTGATATCTCACAACTTGAGGCTTATAAGGAGCTAACAATTTTCATTTTCTATACATACGGGATGAGTGTTACAAACTCCCCTACTTAAACTCATGATGTTCTCGTTAGACCTATTCAAAATCTTTCTTCTTTTAATTAACAATGTGGGGTTCACCTAAGATGTTATAGACACCATCCTTGAGGACTCGTCATACGCGATAAGGTTTGCCCCACCATCCTAGTGGTAAAAGGATTGACTCGGATACCATATGTGATATCCCATACCAACTGTATCAAATATATTGTCTACTTTGTCCACACACATGAACTTACGGTTTTAGAAAGGGTATGAGAAATTAGGAATCAAGTCCTTTATAAGACAACTTTTGTTTCCTTTCCCAACCAATGTGGGATATTACATTTGAGGATAGTTTTTGTATGCGGTAAGAAAACTTTCAGAAATTTAAGGCATTGTTCTAACAAAATCAATACTATCGTTTATATCATCAAATATAAGAATGACGTTGATCTTCCACAATTAGGTTTTACGGAAATAAAAAAACATACGAGAAAAATCGAAAACTGGTCATCAAATTGATAGAGATGGATCATACAACAATAAAACGAGAAAAATGGAAAACTGATCATCAGTGACCAAAATACAAAGGAGATTGTATGAAAATCAACTTCAAGAACTTTTAAACGAATAATAATGTGCGTTTATATGTGTTAATGTTATTAATTGTTTTTTCGTAATATATTAAGTTTGTACTATATTTTATTTATGTTGTATTATTAATATTAATTATTTATTCTGTTTCTAAATATTTATTAAAAACATCAATTTGTAATTTATAATTTAATAAATAAAAAATGATAGCTTGTTTATACATTTTAGATAAACATATTTGATAAGAGATCAAAAACTAAATAGAAAATCGATTAAATTACATTTTTCATCCCTAAGGTTTAGAAATTTCGGTTTTCGTTCTTATAGTTTGTAATTCATTGTTATTTTATTTGTGATTTACAATTTATTGTTGTTTTGGTCCTTATGATTTATAATTATTTATTGTTTTTGTCCCTTGTATTTAAAAGTCAGGAATTAGTCCAAGGACCAAAATAGCAATAAATTACAAATCATAAGATGAAAATAACAATTTCTAAACCACAAGGATGAAAATCAAAATTATTGATAACCTTAGGGATGAAAATCATAATTTGCTCTAAAAAAATTAGTAACTACCAAAAAGTAAATTTGCATTGACGAGAATAAAAGTTATGGTGGAAAGGTAATAAAAAATCTTCAACCTTGGATCAATCCTAATCGAGATAACTACTAGATCAATTCTCTTTTAAAACGCAATTTATAGAAACAACTAATTCACACGCATCTGTTAGAGGAAATAATGGACATAGGTTAAACCATAGTAGAAGAAAGAAGTTGTGAGACACTAAAATATTATTTTA